ACGTTTTTCAAAGCAGCGCGAGAAGGAACATGAGAGGAAAGAAGAATCATTCGTTCGATCACCCACCACTGAAAGTGTTGCGCAGTAGTCACCTATCAGATGTTTCTTATTCGTTCCAGTGCGCCGGTGCTTATTGGCCGTGCCTAACAACTGTCAGGATATCTAACAAGTCACTGCACAGCTTCATTACAGCGTCATATTATGAATCAATTGCTTTTTTTCTTGCACGATTTTGAACTGAGGACAGTCCTACTTTTTATGCGTTTTTTTGCAGCTATGCAATGCAAAAACGCATATTGTGGAGGGTTGTCCGTGTGTGTTTGTAACGAGTTTTCATCTCGAGATTCACAAAAGCTACAAGGCTGAAAACTTGGTAACTTAGTCGACAAATACGTGCGGTCTTGTATCCTCAAAATGGACCCTCAGTCCAACGTGATTCTCACGTAGAGGCACGTGAAAGTTTTTTCCACGTGGATGCATCTTCGGGAACGGCTCAAGCTAGGAGGCTGAAATTTCACAGAGATGTTCCTTGGCCGCGTTTAATCCAAAGATTTCAAATTCAGCTTTCACACACCCCTAGGTCTCACGTACGCACCGGTCAAAGTCCAAACTGGCGTCATGCCAACTCTAGATTTAAGCTGACCAGTAAACTGCAAAACGCTGCAATTTTGCAGCGTTACTTGTTGCCCACTGTTGTGCCCGTGAAAGTAAATTGAGTTGTCCAGCCCTTCTGCATCTCACGTACGAATACGTGAAAATTTCACGCATGCGCTTTTGTAGCTTCAGAATTGAAGCAGCCAAAGGACTGCAACTTTCTGAGCATAACCAACGGGTGACCTTTGGCCAGATGGACACAAAAACGACTTATACATTTCTTCACGTCTCACGTACGTATCACGTATGCAGACGTGAAATTTGACGTAACTCCACAACTAGAGCAGCTGGAGTACTGGAACTTTCTGAGCATTACCCAGGACTGTGTTTGAGCAACCACAGGCAAAAACAGCATCCACATTGCCACTCACGTACAAACACGTGAATTCGACGTAACTCTGCAACCAGAGCGGCTCGAGTGCTGAAAGCTTCTGAGCGCTGCTCAGGACCGTTTTGAGCAACCGCAGGGGAAGAAAGCATTCACGTTGCCGCTCAAGCACGAACACGTGAAATTTGACGTAATCTCGCAACCGAAGCATCTAAAGAGCTGAACTGTTTGGGCATGGGTTGGGAGTCATTGTAAAAATAATTAAAAGTCGTGACGGCCAGTCTGAATTCTTTTAGCTAGAAGCATCTGCCGGAAAGAGCGTGCCACTGGCGAAAAAAAGCTGTGGAGGAACTGTGCAAAAAACGCATCCTTGCAGCCAGTACGCTTTCGACTAGGTTTTTCGCGAGAATATCGTATTATGATTTATTGCTTTTTTGCTAGAATGTCGTAAAACTGTCACGTCACAATGATGTAACATCCTCCTTGATCCTCATTTTACAAATCTTAACCGAGGATTAAACTTTGCACAACCTGTTCGCTTTAGAGTAACGCAATGTGTTTGATCCGCGCCTACATGGGTAATTAAGTGCTTCCTCTTACTCTTGATCATCCAGTATCCGTTATGTCCTTCTCGAAAGTCGTCCGACCCTGTTGTGGGGAGCTTTGGCTCCCCAGAACACTCTTCATTTCCCCATTTCCTTGTATAGTTATTAGTGTGTTATGTGGTTTGTCATAAAAACATAAATCACAAGTAATCCGCTTCGCATAAACGCATACAAACACACAAACATGCATGCAAACTAGTGTGAGTATTATGGCTGCGGAAAGAGTATCTCACTGAATTGTGCCTGGCATACACTTACTTCGAACGGCTTTAAGATGACTTATTTATATCATCACCAGTGTGCGTCGCTTACAATGCTTCTGAACTAACATGTAAATCCCTGCACCAGCTGCAACCTTGTAAACCGCAGAATTAGCGAGCTTTCTCTCCGCTGTGCTTGGAAAATTTTTATGTAGGAGGTGCTCTCAGATACTGCGACTAGCAGTAAATCCCCTAAGTGATAAGCATCAAGGAGTGTCGGAATAGTGGACTTGTGCAACACTGTACTCGGAACTTTCGCACTGAAGAGCTTCCACAGATGTACTGCTGCGCGCCGTTACTCAAAAGGATCAGAAAAGAGGATCACTGAAGATATGATGTAGCGTTTTCGATTTCACATCTGCGATTAGATTTTATATGTGTGATTGTTTGCTTCCCCACAATTCTGTAGCTCTTCAGTGTATAAACTCTTAACACCAGTTTCCAAAACTTTATTAAAGACACACAAACTAAACTCCCCTCCTCCCCACAAATTTTTATTTATAATACCTTCACGTGCTATCAACAAAATGCGAATAGAAATGGAAAACATGCGAAACTGAAGAATAAGACACTGTGCGAGAACATTGTTTGATTTTTCGTTTTTCCAGTGACTCTGCGACTGACTGAATTCAACATGAGAACAAGCATCCTGGAACAGACTATTTACCTGCCACGACAAACTGGAATCTAACAATCAAAAGCTGCCACATTGTGAAAATTTGTAAAAAATGGAGAACTGCTGAGACCAGAACGATAA